CACACACACACACACACACACACACACACACACACACACACACACACACACACACACACAAACGAGCTTCTGGGACTGTCCTGACCTACATGCTAAAAGAATTGGCTACAATTTGATCTCTAGCACAAACTATATGACATCATGATATCAAGACTACTAAGGGTATATTTTGAAAGATTAAAGTGAATAGAAGAGGGATAGTTTGGGTAAAATTGTAGAATTCATGAAGTTAAAGTATCTATTATGAAATGCAAAATCACTGTCACTAAAATCTAGAGGTAAACTAATACCAATACTGTAACTATAGACACTATAAGTATAGTATAGTTTGTAAAGCAATTATAACAACTTTAAAAGGCGAAAGAACAAAAAAAACCCAATTGTAATAACTGCTTTCCTGCATTGTTAAGGGGGGTCTCTGGCAATTAACAATAATAGTAACTATGCATTGTTCCTCTAGTTTCGCCGGGACCTTATTAAAGCCATTCCTGTTGGGATTCTCTCTCTTCCACCCTTCGCCAACTATTTAGTTCTTTTGCTTATGTAAGTAGAATTTTGTCTTTATCTAGTTCCTTAAGATTTACTGGGATTCAGCCTTTTTGCCCTCTCTCTCCTGTCTTCCGATATAATTGCTCAGCTCTTTAAAATGCTCCCTTTTTTAAAGGACAAATTGAAAGATTGGGAAATGTTTAATGGGGGGGGGGAGAGTTGTGCAGGCAAAAACTCTTATCTCAATTGGCATTTCTTCTGCCCTGTTTCTTCATAATAAAAGAAGGAAAGGGGGTGAATTTGTTCTCACTTTTACCAGCCCAATATGGCTGGATGGCAGGGCAGCTTGGCCTTGCAAGAACATTGTAGGTTTTCATTTCAGAAAAGGAAACTGGACATGAAGATGATTAGCTGTAGCAGATTTGGACTAAAACATGATTAAAGGCCAATCTGTCTACTGATAAAGCCTGTGACTGCCAGCAAAGAATATGGGATATATTGCACAAAAACAGAACTGGTGTATTTATTAAACCTTCCATCCATTTTTCATGAGTGCAAGATGGCTTACAAAAAATATTAAAAGAAATACATTGGAAAACAAACAGTAATAAAACTGCAAAGAAGAACAAGAGACCAATAAGAATCACATTTACTATTAATGGAATCATCAAGGTAAATCTGGCCTGGTACCTAAATTACGGCAACTGGGAATTCCAAATACTAGAATTTTCCAAGACTGAGAAACCAGATCTCAGAAGGTTATATATGTATTTCCAGGTCAGATACTATTTGATAGAAGAAATTTTATTGGATAAGAGCTGAGGTGGCACAGTGGTTAGAGTGCAGTACTGCAGGCTACTTTTGCTGACTGCTGTCTGTCGGCAGTTTGAATCTCACCAGGCTCAAGGTTGACTCAGCCTTCCATCCTTCCGTGGTGGGTAAAATGAGGACCCAGATTATTGTTGGGGGCAATAGGCTGACTCTGTAAACCGCTTAGAGAGGGCTGTAAAGCACTGTGAAGTGGGATATGAGTTTAAGTGCTATTGCTATTGCTATATATTGACAACATAAGATACCCTCTTTCTTTTTCTTAAGTACATTTTCAGCAGTCCT